TTTCTCCACGAGTATTTGGAAATTCTTGCATTCTAATCTGGTGTTTGTTAGATTTTTTAAAATTAAAAATGTTAGAGGAATAGCTAAAAATATGAAGCAGCTTTTCCAACACGTGCCTGATATCTGTACAGCGCTTGTAGTGCCAATTTGGCGGCAGGAATGGAGGAAGAGGGAAAAGAGGATCATTGCCAACACATATTCTAAGCACTACATGTTGTGCAATATTTTTGCTTAGAACTTTGGCAATAATTGCTTGATTCTGGCTTGTTTGTCTGTTAGCAAAATGTTTCACGAGCCGCTGGATGGATTGCAATAAAAAATTTCAGAAAGTAATCATTGTATGTACATCTACAACTCATTAACATTTGGTGTTGCTCCATTTTAAAATGACTACCACAGCTAATTGCATTAACTTAATCAGTTTTACAGATACTGAGCAAAGATTGAATCAGTAGCTTAGTGTAATCCTCAACACAGTCTCTGAGTGCTAACAGATCTCACAGTACCAGAACTGGAACTCACTACCAGATGAAATGTGACAGCTAACAACCTATAAGGCTTTCACAAAACACTTGAACAATGGCCCTCTTGATTCATCTGTCAACACTAAACAGAAATTGTATTTGATGTGTGGTACTGTATGTTTGTATTGTTTTTATTTTTAGCAGTAATTGTTTTTTCCTAATGTGTCAGGACTTTTTTTTACTCCAATTTATTGACCTTATTAATTGTGTCTTTTGTAATTATATTCTTGTATTTATTCCTTTTTAAATAGAACTGCACAGTATATCGCAAATTTACTGTCATCGCCACTACCCGCTGTGTAGTAGGCATATCACAAAACACTGCATAAACTACAATAAATGGTTCGCTCAAATRTTTGCATTTATGCATTTTGTCAGCATCAGTCTGATTAAAAAAAAATGGACTCACTAAGTCAGTGGTCAAAATGTTGGCCTTCAATGAGGTCATTTGCAGTTGGATTTTGGTTTATTAACTTTTTTTTAAAAATAATTTAACTTATTTTCAGATAATTGTATTATTTATTAAAACAAATGATTGTAAGGGGTGTTTTTCAGTATTTAGAGCATTGGAAAATATTTGATAGGGGCAATGTTTTGACGTCTTTAAGAAACTGAATTGCATGCAGTTTGTTGTTTCACTGCTACTACAGCAGCTGTGTCTAATTGCACTTCTTTTTAAATAAAGCTGTCATGTTGGAATGGAAATGATATGTTAGATGGTTTTTTTTTTTTGCTCTGAACCAAGAGCCGAAAGACATCAACACTGCAAACTGAAGTATTTGTTCATTTATCACAACTCATCTCATCGCAGTATTAAGCACCGTTATCACACATCRCAGGCTTTCCTCATATGGTGCAGCCCCAACATCATGGACGGGGGTCTACAGATTAAATATAGCCTTTTGGATAATTCCAGCTTTTTTAAATTAYTAAATGGCATATGTTTTATTAAATTGCACAGTCTCTTTTTAAATTAAAAAAAATCAAATCACATTATTTACATGAATGTCATTTACAAGGTTTGATCAAAACAATTCAGCATAAGATAATTTTAGTTTAAATCTCTGGCATGAAAGTTAGCAGGCAATATACATTTCTTTAAGGGATGTCAGGCCTTTAATTGTTCTTAAAATACATAACCCATTCAGATTATTTGATTCAACATGGACTTTGTTCTGAATGGAGATTTGTCCCCTAACTAAGCCATGATTTGTCCTCAATGGTTGGGTAACCAGATTAGGGAGGATGTTGTTGCTGCAAGAGCCCCAGCCTTTTTTTTTTTGTTATTGTTTGACATTTATGTTCTCTGTTTTGGACCATCAAGCTTCTGGACAAGCTGCAGTAACATTTTTCACAACTGGCTTGAAATTTACAAGCCTCTCTGGGCTTTTTAATTGTTGATGATATGCGTATAAATCATGTTTGCTGTTGGTAATTCGACTGTCTTGCTCTGCCTCTCAGGAATGGGAGCATGCAGCTGCAGGTGGACACAGTCCATGGCTGTCACGTTGTCCAGTATGAGAGGAAGCTGCTGTCCCTGGAGGCAAGAAAAAGGAGACAGCGCCACCGAAGTTATCACTCTAGTCCAAGGAAGAAAAAGCTGGGTAGGCCTWGTGTATTCTGCCTAAGTTCAGACAACTGAATGCAGTTAACATCACATGCTAAAGCACTTTTTGTTCCAATAAAACACTCCCTTGTGTCACAGTAAAGTTGGCCAAATATGACTCTGAATGAGTTCATTTCTTTGCAGCAACAACAATAAAAAGTTTTTTTAAGCGTATGCGTATTTTATCCAAAATGCCAGTGATGTAACTGACATTTGTCTTTCCTTATGCTGCTACATATCTCAGGGAAGGAATCCAGGGCCTCCCTGACCGAGAACGGGAGTCAGGAGGCAGAGGAGTGTGCTCAGGAGGAAAGAGAGGAGGCGCAGCCACTTCTTGGGCCAGTCTCGTGCAAGGCTTTGGTAACAGAGCAAAGAAAACAAGTGGACACACCACTGGAGCGCTGCCACAACAAATCTCTGTCCAGCTCAGAGGCAGCCATGCACAATGCCAGACCCGCAGTCAACCTGCTCAACATCCTTCAGCAGGGGTGGGACCTCAGGTCAGACTGGGCTGCTGTTCACGTTGGCTCCTGCTTCCATCTTCCCCTGCTAATGTATTTTCTTTCTCCTTTGCATTTATAATCTTCCCCCTTTTTAATAGGAAAAGTTTTAATGTTGCAATGATCATGGGGAATCCGAAATGGTCAGGTTCTCCTTCCATGTAGAGGCTTATATTTTAACCAGTTTTGTGTTGCCACGTCACAATCATAAAACAAGATATAAATAAATAAACTTGCATGTTTTGTTGCATGTGTAGAGCGATTGTAATAGCTTTATTGTKTAATGTTTCAGCTTCAAAAATGCCAAATTTTATTTATTTTTTGCTTTTTGACAYGTGTTATTTAGGTTAGCATGTAGGTTTAAAATGTAGGTAAAAACTACTTAACGATTACAAATTACTTTTTTTAGCCGTTAAATGCATTTTGTTGTGCACTTGGAGGTGTGCAGAAAATTTTAATTGAGCTTTTCCCACCTTTGCAAAGATAYCTTTATTTGTTTTTGGGTCATATTTTTCAACCTGTCAAGTTTCCTCTATTTTCTGTGATGTTTTTCTGAATCATTATGTCGCAGTATTCATGACAGAATTGCTARATAAGGTCTGGATGCACCAACTACAGTTTGGTCGTCTTTCTCCTCTCGCACTGGAAGCCGAAGGGGGCGTGGTCTGAAGCGACGCACCTCAGAAATGGGGTGAAASAGGGGCTTGCGGAGTTAGGAGGAATTCAGACCAAAGCATTGCAGTTCCACTTTCTATAGACCCCAACTGAACAACTTAAATGTGAAAAAGAATGATTTTAAAGTTTGATATGTCTCCTTTAACTTTAGCATTAACTTTTGGTGTCAACCCCGTTTGTTTATTAAMAAAATATCTCATAAACCACCGAACAAATTTTAATGRAACTTCCWGCTTCTTTTGTTTTTTTGYTTRTAAACATTTTCTTCCAGCTCTACATTTTTGACAGTACTCTTTCCAAGTTTACCTAACCTAACGACGACAGTTTATCATTTCGACACATTTGGAGGACAAGATAAGCGATGTTTCAACAACTTGTGGCTGCAAGACTTACAAGCTTGTTTTTTTTGCTCCCTTCTCGAGAGTCAGATTTATGGAGCGCAATCATTTTTTCCTCACTGTTCTGACAGATTTATCACAAGTAGAATAGCCKTTTATTTTTTGTGCTTTAATTTTCATCAAATTTTGACTTTTTATTAAACAGAAGCTACGAAAAGTAAAGAAAAGCTAATAAAGCATTTTGCCAGYACAGCTCATAAACAGAGGAAACCATTACTCTGGGGTCTCCTGAGACCTAGCTCAAAATAATAGTGAAAAATGAAACATGATTATGAATTCAGCTACACTTAGAGTGATTCCAACAAAGACGACAATCCCTGCAGTTACCATTTTACTACTTTTTGTTGTTTCAGAATGAACCTGACAGCTATGTTTAAACCAAMCTTGGCTTAGTTTCATTGTATTCATATTAGGGAACTGTTCTCCTAACAAAGTCTCTTCCCTGTCTTTATCTTTTCTTCTTAGTAAAGTGCAAGCCCGGATTGCTTTTTCTTCCTACCTGCACCGGGTTCAGCAAAGGCTTCTGGCAGAAAGCAGAGTTAACACCGTCTCAGCTTGGCCAGACAAGGACAGCGACCAAATGGTAAAACCTCAAGAACCTTTTCATCTCCTTTTTTTCTTGACAAATCGAAGCGACAGAATACCCCTGAGCACTGTTTCCTCTCTACGTGCCTCCCTTATAATTATTCTGTCACTAATGTACTGTTGCTGAAATGTGCGCGAGTCGTTTTGTGGCTGCGTTGAATGAAAACATCGAGTGAAAACATTGAGTGGGGCTGGAAAGTTTTCAGCATTCATCAACATCATCAGATTTCAAACCTTTTAAAACTGTTTCTGTTCTCCTGCTCTGAAAATTTTCACCTCTTTGAAAAACAAAAATGGTTTTTTATTACGTGTGCTTGCTCCATGCACAGGAGCTGGTGATTCGCTTCCTACGAAGAGCGGCGAGTAACCTTCAGCAAGATATACGGGTTGTTTTGCCCAATCGTCAGTTACCACTSCAGGACCGCCGACGCATCCTGTCCCACCAGCTAGGAGAGTTTATCCGCTGTTACAACAAGGTTTTCTTCTTAATCACTCAATTACAGTCCTGGGCAGGGCTGGAAACAAAAAGAAGTTATAATATTTACACACAAACAACTGAGAAATGACACCTTTTTTTTTCCTTTTTAGGAAACTGAACATTTGATGACCAAACAGGAGAGCGGTGGGGAGCAGTGTTGTGTAAACCAAAGTGTATTTCAGGAGTATATCACTGCAGCAAGGTTAGTGGATAGAAAAACACTCTTAACTTTGTTTAAAGGGAACATATGCAAAACCCACATTATTATTCTGTTGTGCAGAAAATTTAAATTTAGTCTCTCCCTGTGCTGCGTACATATCTTTATATTCTGTTTGCGTCATATTTTTCTCTATTTTCTGTGACGTTTTCTGAACTACTACGTCACAGTTTTTGTGAGGGCTCTGGGTCAGACTCTGGCTCCAACACGTAAGGCTGGGTGGACAAGTCCTCCAACGTTAATATCTTTAAATTAATTTGTAAATAAAAAGTTTCTGTGCTGCTATATAGTTGTAAACCCCTCTATCAAACTGGAATGGACCGCTCTGAAAGTTGGAAATGGGGTGGGGCTTGTTTGGATTTAAAGAGACAGCCTCAAAATGAGTTGATCTGAGACACACCTCAGAAAAAGGGGTGAAAAAGGGGCTTGTGGAGTTATAATAAGGAGGAATTCAGACCAAAGCATTGCAGTTCCACTTTATAAAGACCCCAACTGAATGATTTAAATGTGAAAAAGAAGGATTTAAAAGCATGATATGTCTCCTTTAATGTTTGTACCTTTTTAGTTACAGTATCTCATAAAAGTGAGTACACCCCTCACATTTTTGTAAGTATTTTATTGTATCTTTTCATGGGACAACACTGAAGACATAGCGCTTTGATACAATGTAAAGTAGTCAGTGTAAATTTGCTGTCCCCTCAAAATAACTCAACACAGCAATTAATGTGCAAACCTCTGGCAACAAAAGTGATGAGTGTACTCACTTGAGATACTGAATATTCTCCTGGGTAGACAGTAAGTCTAAGTTATTATACACTTTCCTGTACTGTCTTTTTTATTATTTACAGTGAAAACGATCTGGAAGAAGTGCTGACGTTTTATACACAGAAAAGTAAATCGGCCACCGTCTTCTTAGGAACTAGAAGTGTCAAGAAAGATGTTCAGGATTCAGGCAAAATCTCTAAATGTAAGCTTCTGAAAAAACATCAAATAAACAGAAGTCATTGTGGGAAAACAAATGAGTGATAACCTCTCTGGTTTCTATTCTTATTTGATCAGCTCTGCTTGTGGACACCAGGGCTTCAGAGTCTTCTCTCTCAACAGGGAAAGTCAGCTGTGACTCAGACGTTAAGGCCACAGAGAGTCAGAAGTCTGTGTCTATGAAGCCTTCAGACCAACAGGCAGATGTTACAACGGGTAAACCTCAGCCAGATGTCCAGTCATCTCAGCACTCCTCCAGTTTTCCCCTGACCTTAGATTGCACTCGCGCTCGTCTGCAGCACTGCTCTCCTGCTGCAGCATTCATTCCTCTTCACTGTCCGCCGCCGCCGCCGCCTCCTCAGCCTCCCTCTTACGCACAGTCCTTGGCGAAGTCTCACTTTTGCCATTCAGAMACTCACTCTGACCCTCCTGCGTACACCTCTGCCCCTGTCATCACACRACCTCCAAAAGCGATCCAGGCCGCCGCAGCTACCGCCACCAACACCGTGACTTCAGGGCAATCAGGGCAGGTGCTCAAAAGGATTCAGTCTTTTGCTCCGTCCAYTTTCAGCTCTGGAGCAACTGCCTCAATCCCAGCTGTTACACACATCTACAGCCAGAAGCTCTCTAGACCCACGTCTGCAGGCCAAGGTAATCTAAGTGCTACACGCCCTTTTCGAAACAAATTCCCTGTCATATTCTTGTCTTTTTGTTTCCTTTTTTTGTTGTTTTTAGAGATCAGGAGGAGCAGTTCCAGTAAGTTCAAGTCAAACTCAGTGGGGACGTTCAGGGAGTTACAGTCCCTGTCTGCTCAGGCTCAGTCCAACCAGCAAGCATTCATCTCAGCTCTGCAGAAACTGGCTGACAAGCAAGTGGCTCGCCACTGTTCCAGCTCCAGTCACATCAACCTGCTGACACAACACGTAGGTTTATTATGCCTCGAGTCCACCGAGCCAACAGCTTCAACTACTTAGAGCAAGAGACTATATTGACTTATTAAGCAGCTGTAAACTGATCTGTGTAATGTTTTATGTAAGGAAGAGAAATCAGCAGCCTCTCACTGTGAGGTCTTTGATATTTCTCTTTGTTGATGCGTAAATCTGGCTCAGATGCCTCACTGATGAGCGGCATCTAGCTGCTCATTCCTTCAGCAGACCTGTTGGAGCCGGAGGGTCTGCTGCCTCGTACCGAGCACCTTCCTCCCCTCAGCTCTCAGCCTGCCTGCCGTCTGTGGGCTGAGGCGAGTGCGGGGGTGGGTCTGGAACCAAAGTTTGAGGCTGGCTGGCCTAAACAGTGGTGAGCCGCATCGAGCCATAGCTCTGTGTGAGGTCTCATTATCAGATGCACCATGGGGGAGTGATTTCTGTTGATACTTAACAGGCAGCAGCTTTTTTTGTGGTAATTGATGCTTATAAATAGAGGAATGTGGCAAATTGGCACTGAACATAGGAGTGGCAGCTCTGCTGGCTCCATCACCACCTTCTCCTGTATTCCCAACGGTTTGGCCTTCGGCTTTGGGAACCCTTAAACCTTTCCTCCCTCTTCTTGCGCCTTCACCTCCCGCTTTGCTGCACTGAAATTTTTTTCTGTCAGATTTTCTTTTTTCTTTCTTGTGATGGCACCAGACCACACAGACTGCAGTTTTTATGGCTTCCTTTCTGACTCTGCGTTATTCTGTCTATTTGAAAAAGTGTTAGCAGTGTGTCTCCCAAGAGTAGTCAGTCCAGGACAGGACAGCAGCTTAGTCAAATAGTCCAGTGTTTGACACTCGCAGCCTCGGAGAGCATTTGGACTTTTTTAGGGCTCATTTTTTAAGTCATTAAATCACATTCTGGGCTAAATGGAGAACTTTGTAAACACGAACAACACTCGGTTACACGGTTGACCTCGGGGATTAAGTTATTWCTCTTTCTCGTGAAAGGACCTATAAACAAAAAAAGAGATGGAAATTGAGTAAAACCAGGCATAGTCACCATCACTATAACCCTCACATACAATGATGCTTTGATGTGATTGTGGATTCCTTCAGCGTGTGTATTTTTATACCCACAATTAATAAATAAACACACAAACAGCTCTGTGAACTCGACCTGAGCTGATGAAGGGTAGACACTTTGACTCAAGTTAAGGGATTTATAATAAACTTTTTCCGCGGTTTAGATTTAGCACTTTTAAATAATTTAACTAGTCTAACTTAATAAGTAAACCAGAGCTGTGGCTTCGTAACAACACGCTGGCACATTTTTTCTTTTAAGTCGTTCAAGGCTTGGCAGCTCTAGATTTTTCCCATTGGACATGTAGTACTCAGGAGGAAATAAAGTAAATAAAATACCACAGCCGTATGATTAATTCTCCTGTAAGATTTTACTGAATATAATTCTCATGAGAGTATATAGAGCTGCACAGAGGTACTTTTGCTACAGAAGTGCTGAGCTGAGTTAGAAACATTTGGCCTGACAAGTCATGATAACTGATCCTGTTGAGGATTATGGAGGGATAGAGGGAATAGATTTACTGCTAAACTAGCTGTGTCATGTTCTGTGTGTACATTTCACGTAGACACAAGAGATAAAAGGAGATGATGAAGGGAAGAACCCAACGAGACACCTTAAGATAAGGGTCCACAGCTACTGTAGATGTTTAGTTAAAGTGACTCAGCAAATTTAGTTGCTGTAAGTTTACACAATTTTAATCCTGAGTGATTATACTTATTTTAAACACGGTAAAATTCATTCACAGAATCTGTCTCTCTGTTCCCAGTTGACCAACCTGAACCTGGCCAGCAGGATGCTGAGCAGAGAGAATTTAACGCTGAACCCCAAAACTGCTGCAACCCAAAGACCCCTGAGAGCTGCACATTCTGATCGTCTAAGCAGAACAGGGTACGTTCAAGAAGACAACATTTACAAGGCGACTGATTGATTATCCCTTTTTTTAAAGAAAAGGCAAATAAAGCTTATTTCAGAAGATTCCTTCTTTATCAATGTTCTGTGAAGTCATGGTAAGTCATATACATATTGTATTCACAGGATTTATGCATATTATCTTGTGATATCCTGTTATTGATAAACCGTTTAGATAAAAATGTTTCTCCTCAGTAAAAATAATTTGCTGAAAGTTAGTCTACACAATGACTGTCAGCTATACAGTTCCCTTCTTCCCAAAAGAAATAAAAAAACCTGTTTTCACTTTTATGGACTGCGTATAACCACTATAACAAGTTTAGTGACTTCAAGTGTTTGTGCGTATTTAAAATTGATCTCAAATGTGTAAATACTTTGAAAGCATTCACACAGATCATTTTTTTTCTTTCATATTTTCAGCACGCATACTGTATCATTTCTCAGTTTTGTGGTATTTTAACAATTTATATTGTCGCGGCAAAAATGGTCAGAAACACGGCGAAAAGGTGTTAGAAAGACAAATAGTCTTGCGGGTATGATCATAAAGTCATTTATTGATGGGCAGACATGGAACAGAAAGCAATCWCGAAGTCTGTTAGATGTGGGCCCCCGACTGAGGGCGGAAGAGAACTGTTATACCTTCAGCTATCATCATGTGATAATGAACAACCAATCAGAATCTGCCTCGTTCTGGTACATGATGTAGGTCAACTCGATGATGACGTCCAGGGATATCAACGAGATATGAACAAGTGGACAGTGTCAAGGTGATACAGAAATAAGTATTCCACAACATATATAATAAAACGTTCAGCTCCTTTCAGGGCATTCCTGTTATGACTTTTGATACTTTATCAATTTATACTTTAAATTAATGAAGATAACTTCAGCATCCTTAAAAACCTTAGAAATGTTTATGAATCTTGTGTACTATTAAACTTTTTGTTCTAGTTCTGCTTTCTTTATCTCATTTGTACTAATTTCTCCTTCATTTGACTTCTATTTAGCTGACTTTAGCTTTTTTTTCTGTGTCCATCAGCTTTCATTCTGACCATTTCTGTTATTCTTCTGCAAATTTTAATGATTTTGAACTTGTTTCAGTTTCTTTTGGCTATTTTTTGTATTATTGACTTCTTTTAACTGCTTTCTGCTAATTTAAGCCATTTTCTGTGTTTTTAGCTACTTTCTAGTTAATTTGCACTTTTATCATGTAAATTCACATTTCTGTGATAATTTCAGCTTCTTACTGCTTAATTTAGCAAATGTGCTCTCTGTTTCTTTGGGCTACTTTCAATTACTTTTTCTTTTCTTTTTTTTTTAGGTATTTTTAGGCTAGTTCCAGATTTTTTTTGCTATTCAGCAAAAATCCCTCAACATTAGGCATTCATGCTGCATTGTCACAGGAAATTCAAATACTGTAGTTTTATTCATGACTGTGGTAAATTGACCACTTTGTGATACATTTTCTATTCTGAACATTAATATAGTTCTGTTGCTTCAGAAGTGTTTCAAAGTTATTTTTACTGTTATTTTTAGCGCACACATCATCTCTGCGACCTTGTAAATTTTTTGTTGCCTTTTTTCAACTTGCATCATTGTGTTCACTTGTGCTTCTGTGTTTGCTGCCCTTTGAGTTATAAGGACGATGTCGRTGGTTGAGGTAGCGGCGTGTCTGTTTTCTCTCAGACTGATGTTTAAAAAGTTGTGCTGTTGTAGAAGTTTTGAGGTTTGTATCTGTCATGTGGCCTAAAATGGATTTAATGTTGCAAAGCTGCTATTTTCTTGACATTAATTTTATGTAGGCTTCAGAAAAGCTGTTAAGATTTTAAATCTGATTTATTTTTGCCAAATTGCAGTTCTGAGAATTTTCTGTTTATTCTACTTCCCCTCCAGACACTTACAGTAGTCTGTATGGTCACACTCAATAGAATCTAAAAGCTTATTTAATGATCTCTGACAACATTTTAGAATGAAGATTGTTGGTTTTTGGAAAAGAACTGAAGTGCCAGCACTCGTCTTAGCAGCTTAGTGCAGTTTTGTGTCTGGAGATTTTTTTTCTCTCTCTTTAATTGGACTTTGGGGAAGCAAGTAGCATTAGAATTGGCTGGTGAGGATATTCAGAATGTGAGGCAAGCTGGCAAATTCAAATATTGTGTTGAATAAATGCTGGAGTCAGTACAAACAGACTAAAACATTTTTTTTAAATGCAGCCACTATGTGTTTTTGTAGACTGGAATCACAAACCTTAATTCTGACTTAAGATATACACTCACTGGCCACTTTATTAGGTACACCTGTCCAACTGCTCGTTAACACTTAATTTCTAATCAGCCAATCACATGGCGGCAACTCAGTGCATTTAGGCATGTAG